ACTGTTGCAGCCCGGAAATGCGTGACTTGGCAAGCTGACACGACCCAATTAGGCTGAGGCATTTGCTGTGGCTGTGTCGGGCTCTGCCAACTCTGGCCAATCCTCGGCGGCCGCTGACGACAGCCCGAGCGATCCCGAGAATCTTCCAGGCTGCTCTCTTTCTCTTTCCCTCTTTTCGCTCATTTCGCTGGTTTTGCTCGCTTTTTTGTCTTGCTGCTGTAAGCCCCGTCCCCTCGTTCTCGGCCGTTTCTCGTACCAGCTTTGCACGGGCCTCTTGCTCTTTCACAGACCTCCTCGGATCCTCAGTTCCTGCGATGCCCGCCGGTCGCCGGAGCTCTGAATCTTCTCACACCACCGCCCTTAGTCATCCATCTTCACCTGCTCTTCGCGCTATATACTTACGTTAGCAGGTACGGCGTACCCACCAAACCTCGAATAACCATATCTTGTTTCCAAATACCGCTTCCTCGCTCATCGTGCTACCGAAATGGAATTCGACTGCCTGGGTCCCTCACAGGCCATCCCCATTCAGGAGGGTGTTGAGAGCTGGATGCTATCAGCCTAAAAATGACCAGACCAGCTCGCATGTGCTCGTCCCAGGCCGCACCAGTCTTCTGACTGGAGAAATTTTCTTCTAGGCCGAGAGTGAGTTTCGCGGTTTTCAGCCAAGATCGGCAATTGCAGCTCGTATCGTACGGCGCAGTCGGCATCTAACACGATGTTTCAGAGGGCTGTGATAAGACATTGTTCAAGACAGGACACCACCTGTGCTTTTCTCAGCCGTCTCGCTGTCCTCTCGGCGGGGTCTTCCGGCTGAATGGGCTCCACTTGGCTGTCCTTCTAGAAGTTCGATTTTTCTCGTCTAAATGCAGGAACGTGCCGGGGTGCCGTTGCGTTGTTTTGGGTCTAGGCTGGGTACTCGTAAGGCTGGAACCCTAGGGATGGAGTCGGGCTGGGTCGACGGGGTCAAAGCCTGCAGCGGTCCAGCGGTCCAGAAGCCGTTGCTGCAGCTGGCGGCTGCAACGAAAACTCTGTTGGCTGAGCTAAGCCGTCCATTCGGACAGTTGTCGGCTGGCGTCGGGCAAGGCCAAGAAGCTGCATGCAAGATTTCGACGCCTCTAGGCCGTTTGTGGCAGGCATATGCCCCCGATTTTTCCGTTCTGGGCCGGGGGCTTCACCCGATAGTGTTGCCGAAGTTTGGTTGAAGAGCAGCATCCATAGAAATTTTTCTTGACAGCTTCACTTGTTTCGTGCAATTTGTCCTCGGTCAAGCCACAATATCAGTTGCAATTGCCGTCTTTTGCAACAACAACCCGGAACTCTGTGTCACTTATCGGCGCCCCCGTCAACCCATTGGGCAATGGAATGCCGAGTTGGCGGTTTAGGTACCCGGGATTGATTCGCAATCCTCAAGTACTGCTGTGGCTGGTGACCTCCGGATGGTCGAATAGCAACTCTCGAGTGACCTCAGATCAGCTCTCTTTGCCCCGTGGAGATGTGATCGACCGCAGGGCCGGCACCGCCACAGTGTTGCCACAGCGGAAGCAATGGCTGAGATATGGGGGCCACACACCAGCGTTGTCGGTCCCGCATAACCTTGGTACGTCCTTCTGTTGGCGGAGATTCTTGGCTGCGACCTGAACAGTGTCTCTTACGGCGGCGGACACAAAGCTGAATACCCTGCGGGAGTGTGGCTCCGCTGGGTTCTGAGCAATGTGGTGGCGGACTCCCCCGCAAAATGCCATTGCCGATGGAGAATCTGGGTCCCCAAATACCAACGCGGAAAAAAAAAAAGTCCACAAGTGGTAGTAATTCCGCGCTTCAGATGGGTTAGGCACTGCATACCATCTTGGGAAAGTACATGCGTCCGGGTTACTGGCTTAGACAAAGACATTGTAGATATGTAATAATCTGTCCGCATAGCCTTCCCACATTTGCATTCTGCACATCATTTGTCGTCGAGACATTGCTGGAAGTTTGCTTCGAGTGATTCCCGGCTTGTGGGAGCTGAAAAGGACACACCTCTAAGCCTTCTTCAGGGCCAACTCATGCGTTTGGCTGTCGCACAGTTTGCGGCAGCTCGCACGGTTCTGTGCGATGCCCTGGGTTCTCGTTCAAAAAGGAAAGGGAAAGGCTCCTCCTCCCATCAACCGCAGCATATTCGTGTATATCGCGCATCTGTCGAAGCCAGGTATTCATATCCGACACATGATGGTGGCGGTAGCTGAAATCGGCATCCCTCATGAACATGTCTCTGTGTTGGTCCCGGAGCAGCGAGCGTCCATAGCTCGAGGCATCCGTTTTGTTGGCCCTCGCCCCCAGTCCTGACCTGCTTCTAGTTTTGTCGCCGGCTCGCATAGAATTGTCAGCTTATTGGTGAGGCTGATAATTTTGGGTCATGAGTTGGCCCCACACATGCTCGACTGTTCAGACCACATTATGCGCAGTGCAGACTCTGCTATAATGGCCTTCCGCATGCTAGGTCGCGACTGTATGCGCGCTGGGTTGCAGTGGCCGTGGTTGAGATTGAGATTCTAAGTGATCTGCAGACATTCGCCGCCAAGGTAAATTAAAAACCGCCCGCACGCCTTTGGTTGCCTACCATCCAAGCAGTTTGAATGAGAGCCTTCTGCTGCGGTACGGAGATCGAGCAGGTCTGCAGCCTACTCAGAAGCGCTTCGTAGCAGAACATCCTATGCCACGGGGTCCCCTGCGACCGAATAAGTCGCTCTCGAGGGCGGCTACAGTCCGACTTCATGATCTATGTCACTGATCGACACCCCTGCCTTGGCGTTGTCGCTCTCTGACGCCGCGCCCGGACGGCCCCCCGTGGAGATGGTGCATCACGCCAAAAGCCTTGTCGGCAAGATCTGGATGACAGGAGAGACGAGTTGAAAGAATACGTTCTTGGGCGAGAATAGGATGAGAAGGATGTTGATGCACTTGGTATGGACAGCTCAGGACTGATGCGTCTCGAATCAATCACCGCGATCATGCTGTTTCCCTGCGAGTAGCGCCATGCATCACTCACGGCTTAGATAGCTCGCCGTGCGTATCACTATTGCGCATCATCATCATCATCAATGGATTGAGAGAGCTTGGCCTCACGAGCTGCCCGGCTCCCCCCCGCTATCGACGATAGTCTCGGGGGCCTCATGCAGGCCGTGGGATGCCTGGAGTCCATAGACGGGGTATACAAAGGGTGCATGCCTGTTTAAAAAAAAAAAAGGTGTACGTGCATGGTGGACGGGCGTCGTGAACCAACGAGACAAAATCCAACGTTCTCCAACCATCTTCGAGTGGATAAAGTTGGTACACATTCCATATTCCCGGGCAGGTATTCAGGCTCCTCTGAAAAGAGCTTTGGAATACGCCGTACCGGCCGGGGTGAAAACAGTGGCAAGGCTAGGACATACACGATAGGCCTGTTCTAGTTCTGTGCGTCCGCTAACGGTTGGTTTTGATCATGTCTATCTCCGGGATCACCTCTCTATGACGCACTTTGGGTATGGAATAGGTAGGTGGATACACGTGGTTGATGATTGTTCTCTCAAGGGACAAGTGAATGGTGTGTTTAGAGGGTTGTATGTGTTCGTGGTTGGGGTATACAGAGAGGATTGTCGAGGTTAATTTATTCTTGTATTTTCGCAAAAATAAAAAAAGCCACACCTGCTCCACCAAGGAAGCAACCAGGCTACGGATCCCCTCAAACCACACATCGACCATGCATACACGCAATCGAGCACTCTGTAAATGCCCTTCTACAGATGTCATACTACACCACATGGCAAGGGCCGCGGGGAGTAAAGGCGAGTCTAACCCGGAAAGCGTCATGTGAATTTGTGGTAGCCTTGGTGTGCGGTTACCCCATGTGGCAACTAATCAGGGTCGACTTTTCTCAACACCCCTTCCTTGCCCTTCCTTGACCCATATAGCTAGAAGATTGACGTCCGGATGTCGTTGAAACTGTGTTTATTTCTAGAAGATAAAGAGATCTCACCGTGTCGCATCAGAAAGACTCCCTGTCTCGCGCACTCGATGGAACGGGGTCGCGTGTGTGGAGCAGTGAAGCTTATGGGGCTCCAGACACTATGTGCCTGCGGTTGCGTTGTTTACATGGTCGATCTTCGCGAGGAGACCAGATTGTCCAGACTCCGTGGGCTACACACAGACAAGCCTCCACACATGCTCCCATCAATGACCGTGGCAAAAGAAGAAGCTGAGGTTCGAAGAGAGAGAGGGTGGCTCACCAGAACTCATGCACATTCCTTTGGCCCGACTCATGCGGTCCTCGAGCGCTACTAGCTGGCCTCGCGACCACGAGACGATCAATTCTCCCGCTCCCACAGTCAATTTCGCGTAGAATACGAAGGCCTGACAACTCATTGCGTGGTTCTGAGGGCCATGACTGATTTAGATGTAGATGTCAAGATGGGTTCTTCGATGGGCCTCTCGTGACCCTTCCCGTGCGTGACCAGACGAGGGTGGTTATAGATTGAAGGATCGAAGGATTAATGTACTGTGCAGGACTCAACCCTGAATCGCCCACACCTTGAAGTCACTAGCTGTGGTTACCTTCGAGTGCACCAAGCCATTCAAGTCGCGGCGGTCAGACTCTCATGAGATGGCAGACCTACGGATCACCGAGCAACCAGTAACATACACGCCGGGAGACAAGCACAGAGCACAATACTTTGAATTGTTTATTTCATGTCTGGACGCCGATGCTTATGTTGCGGCTCAGCCCATCTGTCAACGCCGAAGCAGGCTGCTCATATTGTGCCCGTATACATCATTGCACTGAAGGCACCACTGATTGATTTGCCATCCCATCGTAACCATGACCCTTACACAACCCCATTGATCAAAACCCATGTGAATGCCCGACCACTCCGAAACTCAAAGCAAAAAAGGATTGGGTAAGCGCGCCATGTACCAGGAGCAGGCACGAAAAGACCCAAGGCAAAGTCGTAACAGGTAGAGTATGACTGGCGAAGTGTTTAACCGCCAAAGCCTGGAAACTGTTAGCAATGAATTAGAATTGAAGGACAGAAGTGAGTCGAACCGTAGAGAGTGCGGCCTTGTCTCTTGAGAGCATAGACAACATCCAGTGAGGTGACAGTCTTTCGCTTGGCGCTGACGAGATGTTAGTATCTGATGCGCAAAGTTCGAATGCTCGTAGATGAGCACGACTCACTGTTCAGTGTATGTAACGGCATCACGGATGACGCCTTCCAGGAAGGTCTTGAGGACACCACGGGTCTCTTCGTAGATCATAGCAGAAATACGCTTGACACCACCACGACGGGCGAGACGTCGAATAGCGGGCTTGGTGATACCCTGAATGTTGTCACGGAGAATCTTTCGGTGGCGTTTGGCACCACCCTTGCCGAGGCCCTTGCCGCCTTTTCCGCGTCCAGTCATGTTGATTGAAGGGTTGAAGTAATTGAGGGTGTCGAAGAATGGGTGGCGGTTGAAGTGTTGTTGTCGAGTATGAGTATTGAATGAATTGGATGGATGGATGGATGGATAGATGGAGAGGAGACGATGGTTGGAAAGGCGGCAGGTGGGGAGAGACTTATGCACCGCGGCAGAGCCTGTTGAGCGCCCGCGAGATCAACCCGACGCAGCTCGGATCACAGCCAATCAGAATTCAGATCCGAGAACTGGGCTCACCTGCGAACTCCCTCGCCGCCACGTTGATTGACTGATCTCTCAACCACACCAGCATGAATTGCTTGATCTTTTGGAATAGCGACCGAATGAGACTGAGTGGTCAAGTTGACCATGAATTTACCAATTATTACGGAGTGTTGGGCGTGATGGCGGAGGTGGGCAGAGGTGCAGGGCAGCGTGCCAGATCTTTGAGGTGGTACGCCAAGCAGCGGGATCAAAGCCAATTTCTGATTTTGGCCGAGTTCGCAGAGTTCTGAATCACCAGCAAAAATGGGGCAGAATGGCTGCTGAATCATGGGGGTTTTTGGCAGCCCTGATCTGATCACTTTTCGTTATGCCATTCTTTGCCGCTGCAGCCTGGGCCACCAACTCTGTTGTCACTGCTCAAATCATCCCGCAACCGCACATCAGATCACGCCAAGCGCCTGCCTTTCAGCCCTTTCTTCCTACAAATACCTCGCTCCCACCCACTTTGTCCGCTTAGCTTTTCTTCCCCATCCAGCCTCACTCATCATCTCCATCTCCAGTCTTCCACCCAGCCTGACCTTCATCAACCACTTGACACAACCTTCAATCTTTCATCGGATAATCCATCGCCATGGCTCGTACCAAGCAAACTGCTCGCAAGTCCACTGGTAAGACCTTGCTGCTGCCTCACTGGCGTCTCAGAACCCCGTCGCTGACCCATGTCTTCTAGGTGGCAAGGCCCCAAGAAAGCAGCTCGCCTCCAAGGCCGCTCGCAAGTCTGCCCCAAGTACTGGAGGTGTCAAGAAGCCCCACAGATATAAGCCTGGTACCGTCGCTCTCCGTGAGATTCGTCGCTACCAGAAGTCCACTGAATTGCTCATCCGGTATGTCGCAGCAACGTCAACGCAGTTGCCCAAAGTACAGCAGCTAACAATCTGAACAGCAAGCTTCCCTTCCAGCGTCTTGTTCGTGAAATCGCTCAAGACTTCAAGTCCGACCTTCGATTCCAGTCATCCGCCATCGGCGCTCTTCAAGAGTCCGTTGAGGCATACCTCGTCTCTCTCTTTGAGGACACCAATCTGTGCGCAATCCACGCCAAGCGTGTCACCATCCAGTCCAAGGACATCCAGCTTGCCCGTCGTCTCCGTGGTGAACGATCTTAGACGACAAGTTGAAATTTGCAACTTCTCGATCAACAGTCAAATGGCAGGTTGGGAAAGTTTCATGGTCATGATTTGAGTATGGGGGGTTTTCACGAGTTGACACAAGGCGAAACGGAATGAATTCATAGGGGCTTGTATTGCTTTTTCACACAACATTGATCACGGGTGGTAACGGGGGGCTTCTGGCGTCTTCTGCTCCTGCTCGTGCATGTACATCACGCAGCATCATACCAGTCAGCATGACTATGACGTGGACACAGCAGAATGCGCTGCATCAACCAGGTAGAATCTGAATGCGATTCAGGTTAAAACGTTCAAGCACGTGTTTCTTCTGACCCGACCCGTAATTCCTCTGAAGGGAAAACTGAAAACTCCCCAAGATGCCACACCAGTGCTTGTGCTTCGACGCGACGGGCACAGTTTCTGGGGCAATAGATTCAGGCTCTCTGGGGTGTCAGCAGCTGGTGATCCAGGGGCGCGGCGCCTAAGATGATTCGCATTTGGGGGCTGCAGACGGCGTCATCGGGGCGCGCAACCCAGTGGATCCGGCTGCGACTGGCTACGGCAAATTCTCCTCCGATATAGGAATGAGTCGCTGATGGTTAACTGTGTTATGAGATGACATTCTATCACCATGGCATTCAGTCAATAATGCACTCTTTGCATCGGGCGGCGCTCAAGTTCAGTGCCAGATCGCCGTGGTTTCGGGCACGAGTGCCAGGCCTGCGAGCCCGACTGAACCCTCATGCCCAGAGGAACTCCTCCAACTCGCCCAGTTCAAGTCGCATGAAGGACACAACGAGTTCGCCGTCGCCGTCGCAAACCAAACTCCCTCCACATTCGCTCAATGAAGTGCCCGTCGGCGAGACTGCGAAGCCCGTCGAAGCCGTCGACATCCCCATCCAGCTGTGGTATCATCGTCTGGGGCCCGTGTCTTCGTTCTTTCAATGGTTTCATCGCACACAGTTGAAGAGGCCATATACCGTGCAACTATGCACAACCTTGACGACCTACCTATGCGGTGATCTACTGGCACAGGATATTGGAGGGGAACTGTACAATCCATGGCGAACACTGAGGATGTTGACAATTGGAGCCATTGCGGCGATACCGGGCTACAAATGGTATGAAATCCAAATCCGAAATCCAAATCTGACGGGCAAACATATGGTCACCCGATCTGACAGAGGAACGTCGGGAAAGCATGGAAGGAGATGGAGCACAGAAGACGTGAGCTAACGTCAAAGACATGCAGGTTCCTCTTCCTGGGCCAGAGCTTCAATTATCCCTCGAAACTCGCCTCCATCGCAACAAAGGTTGCTGTCAACCAAGTTGTCTTCACTCCCGTCTTCAACACATACTTTTTTGGCATGCAGGCCCTACTGACCGGCGAGCACGCGTCGGGCATCATCATGCGCATTCAAGCTGCGGTGCCGGTCAGCATGCTCAATTCTCTGAAATTATGGCCTGCGGTGACTGCCTTCTCTTTTGCCTTTGTTCCGCCCCAATACCGGTTCATGTTTTCGGGCATCTTTGCCGTCGCGTGGCAGTGCTATTTAAGTTTCCTCAACCGCAAGGAAGAGAAGATCGAGGCGCAGATCGATACTTTGAATCACCCTGTGCTGCCGGAGAGCATTGTGGCGAAGTAAAGCTGCTTCAAGGACGGTCTAACGGGTCTATGCCTAGAGTGACTCAGGCCGACTTGGGAGAGAAATCCGTCGGGGAGAAGAGATCTTCTCGACCTAGGGCAGGGTTGGCAGCCCTAGTTTACGAATCTCGTTCTGTCGCTCTGGTGTCTATGGCATGGACGCATTTAGTGGTGAAAGCACGGGCGAAAAGGCCTTTGGTAAACAGGTCCTATCATAGACAGCATCTAGGCAGCAATGTCGGGGTTAGATTATAGAACATAGAGCAAAATCAGAGCAATATCCCATCGATTGGACCTCATACATCCTCTGGGCGGGTTGTCCAGACCCCACGACGCGTCAGGAGCAAGCGCGAAAGCGCGCCTCAGAGCAGGCAGAAGTGCCTTCAATGCGAGTCTGCCTGAAGGAATTGAAATAAACAAGCAGCATGTCGAAGTACATATATATGTCACGATTGAACGTGGAGATGGACGGGTCAATTGTTCTCCTTTGCGTTCATATTCTCCAAAGTCGTTGCGGACGCTCATGAATCATGACAGCCACAAAACCACTAGCAGCCCATCATCCACCCCCGACAATGTCGACCCAAGACCACAATGTATTGATGCAATTTGAAGTGTTGAACACTCTGACCGTGACAAAGCCGCCGGAAGATGAGGACACGGACGAGTACAGTGACTTTGGGGAAGACCCTGAAGCTCTCGAGATAATTGACCAGCTCCTCCTTGAGGCCGCGGGCAAATCGGGGCAGGAACAGATAAACGCGCCCCTGGTTGTAACAGACATCGAGGACTATGAAGAACCTCGAGGCGTTCGTCTGCCTAAGGTATTTGGTCTCGAGGCAACGCGTCAGTGGGAGCTCGAGAAACGGTCTGTTCAGGCCCATTTCCTCCAGAACATTTGTGAGCAAAGGCGTAAGTTCTGTACAACGCCATTCCCAATGCTTTGTCTCGCTGACAAGCTGACCAGCGCCCAGCCGAGCAGAAACGAGTATCTGGAAATGAAGAAGATGTAAGGCCGGCACGAGAGAAATCTCCACGAACCGCGCAGACCAAACAGGATGCTCAGCAGGAGCAGCAACTCCTCGAACCTGACACTCGATCTCCCCTGGAACGGTTTCGTAAACCTCCCATGAAAGCCCTCTCTGTCACCGATCTCATCTCCCCCGCATGGTGCGAATTACAATATTACTACGTCTTGACCAAACATGGCCGGAAAAGGAGGACACCCGCAATGAAACAAGGCAGTGCGGTCCACCAGGCATTGGAAGACGAAATACACGTCACTGTTCCCGTAGAGATCATCAAGAGAGAAGATAGTTGGGGACTTCGAATCTGGAATATCATCCAGGGACTGAAAACGCTCAGACGGACGGGCAAGACGAGAGAGTTAGAGATTTGGGGATCAATTGGTGGAGAGCTGGTAAACGGGGTCATTGATGAGTTGAGCTACGAGTGTCCTGACCCCAAGCTTGAGGAAATGAGTCGGAATCTGCTGGAGCACAAGGACGTCGAGCCTCCACTACCAGAATATCAGGCCAGCATTAGGGACTACCTGGTGACGAACGAAACTCGAGACCAGGGCCAGTCGCTGTCGCAGGCTCTGAAGGGTGGCAATGGCGACATTGACAAAGAGGCCAGTAGCAAGCCTCCCGCGTGGAGGACGAGGAAGTCAGGGAAAGAGGATGTGAGGCGAATCTACATCACCGATGTGAAGACACGAGGCACTCCCACTCTACCGACAGGTTCGGCCATTCGTCCTACCTTGGTCCAACTCCATCTCTACCACCACATGCTGGAAAATATGGCTTTGGGAAAATTCTCCCTCTCCCAGCTTGCGGAGAGGTATAAGTTTGATGTCCACGAGACATTCTCGGACACGTTCATCGCGCAGATTGGAGGGTTGAATCAGGACGTGTTTGAATCATCACAACAAAGTGACGATGTCAGGCAGGATCTGCCGCCGTCGACGCAGGATTCGATGGATGTTCTCCTTCAGCACAACACCCTGGCCAGTCTGTGGGATTTCATGATGGAGCAGTTTCGATTGACCTTCATCATCCCTTCAAGTTCAACGTCAGCGTCGACTCCGCATACAATCAATTCCTTCGACCGGAACCAAGATCCTAATATTTCACCCCCCTCCACTCTCTCTGCCCTGCCTACGCCGCCCTCACAACCAACACGCCTCTCTCCTATCCTCACAGCACGTTACATCTCCAGCAACTACAAGCATTTCAGCAACTCAAATGGCTCCGCAGAAGCTCAGTCGCAGAACCTCGGAAGCAAATCCGTCCTCTTCAACCCCTCGTTCTTCACGTCCTCCCTCTACTCCTCTTTAGCATTCTGGAAGGGCGAGCGGGAACCGCGCGGCGTGGAGGTCACTGACGCGTGGAAGTGTCGCATCTGTGAGTTCCGCGACGAGTGCGCGTGGATCAAAGAGAGAGACGAGGACATGGTACGCGAAGTGAGGGAGCGGAGGAGGCTGAAGGAGGAGCTTGAGGACCAGGGAGACGTAGACGAGGAACGAGTGGGCGGCAGGCGAAGCCGGGTCTGATTGGCAATGACAGTAACGCGAGAATACCGAGTATATCGTGATGACGCGTAATATATGTCAGCGGTGGATGTTGTTGAGTACATCTCCCAAAGCTCGCTCGACAGGATCTCATTCCTCATGGGATGAGCAAAATCAACGAGAGAATAAAATCTTGAGCAGAGGCTATATTATCCACATACTGCTGAGACTCTGGCAAAGCCGGTTTATAGTTGTCCAGATGCCCAAACAGGACCAGACTTCCTATATCCGATAAATATTTTTTGATGGCATTCAAGTTGGCGTGATTCTTTTTATAAGCAAGTAGGAGCCACCGCTCGAGAGATACATACATGTATATACTTCGTATACAACCGAGAATAGCGTCTTAGCTTGTCATGTCCCATCACCAGGGATAACTCCTCCTCTCGTCCTCCTCGTCCAACTTTAGCCCTCTGTCCAACTGCTCCTGGTGCTTCTTGTCGAGATACTCGAGCAGGACGGCCCCGTACTTTTCCTTGCCCTTGTAGCGGGACACGTCGTCGCCCCAGCTGCGGATGGCGCTGGCCAGGCGGCCGGGCACGTAATCCTCGGCGACGATCTCGGTGACGGGGTGGAAGTACGTGCGGATGGTAAACACTACGCCGCCGGAGCGGGGCAGCCGCCGCAAGGTCTGGCGCTCGGAGCGGAAGAAGTGGTGCTCGATGGCGCGGTCCTTCTCGGCCGTGTTCCAGCTGATGTTTGGGTTGTCCTCGCTGCCAATCGAGTATGACCATGCCAAATCGTCGTCAACTTGCAAGAAGTAGTTGTTGCGCGCCACCAGCTCCTCGGGCTTGAGGCGACGGAAAAAGTTCATCATCCCCTTCTCCAGCTTCTCCTTGAACTGCGGCACGTCGCCGCTCGTGTGGATCTGTGACAGGGGCATCCCGTACTTGTCCTCCAACCGCCAGAAGCCCGGTAGCAGGATCGCCCCCGCGAGCAGGTAGTATTGTCCGTCTGCCCCCTCGATCATGATCGCCAGGTCGTCCTGCACCATCCGCGCCGCCGTCTGCATCGGGTCTTCTGGCAGCGGCCGCGACGTTGTGTCGAGCTCCTCGCCCGACCACAGGTTCTTGATCCCCTTTTCCGTGCGCTGGTACAGAGTCGGGTACCGGTCTGGCAAATACGAGCGGAATTCTTCGAGCAGTTCTAACGCCGCGGGATATGCTTCGGGCGCCGTCTTGCAACATTTGTGCCCGCGCTCCAGAATCCGCCGGGTCTTGTCACCGTGGAACCGCGGGAAGTGGTTGTCCAGTTCGATCCAGTCGTCCCACTTCACGTTACGGAGGCCCATGGTGACGAAGTACTTGGGCCCGTAGCGGAACGGGCGGTAAGGGAGAGGTTTGGTGTGCTCGATGGACCAGTTTTCGTATGCGGGTGGTTTGGGACGTTGGAAGTCGGACGGGATCCATGTACCTGGTTTGCGGGCCTGAGCTGCATTGGTGCCTTTGCTATAATTGGCCTTTTCGAGTAGAGGTGTCGGCGGTGTTGATGGGCGAGACGGGCTGGCGAGGTAGCGTGCGCGCCGGTAGGAGATGTACCGGCCGATAGCAAAGGCGAGAAAGACAAACAGGGTCAGGCCATAGAGGACTTCTTTGAAATGGGGCCTTTGTGACAATCTCTGTAGGTCCAACTGAGCTGACTTTAGAATCGAAGAGCAATGGTGTTTAGATTTCTGAAGATGGTCGTTGGCTTGTTTAACGTAGGGTTGTACACGGGCATTTGCTTGCTCAATGTATGGTTGTGACCGAGCAACAAGGTCCGAGAATCTCTGTCTGAGGGATTGCGAGTCCATGGTGGCGATGGGAAGAAGACGGCCTACACTATGGCACCCTGTATGGAGAAACAAGGGGAGCAAAGAGAAACAGAACCCAAACGCCCGAAAGGTATATGAACTTTTAGAGAAATGGAATCAATGTCTGCATTCGACGTGCTGATCCGTCGAGAGGCCACAAGAAGCTCTCCAGGCCACGGCTCCGGACAGCGCCAGATCTCCAAACGTGCGATTCTGTTATCGCATGGGCGCCTTGCCGCCCACTCGGATTCTTATCATCGACTTTGGTCTCAAGTCTGTGGTTGGTCTTGTCCAATCAGCCCGCCTTTTCTGGGCTGGACAAAAATGCCTTTTCGGGGATGGCGCATTTTCCCCCCAGGGCAGTGCGTGGAATGGGGCAAGCCACCGCGACATAGCTGCTTCCAGGTATCGGACATGGGCGTGGGGTTACCCGGACTGGATTCTCCCAGCTATATACGGTCCAGTTTCGAAAACTGCCGGCGCTCTTGAACGAAGTCTCTTGTTCATTACACCTTCCTTTGGCGCAGCAGGCAATGTTCACCCCAATGTCGACGATATCTGGGAGGCACGAATGGTAGATCAGGAATCCAAATCGTCCTAGCAAGGGTTCCAGTTCTCGAAGCATCCAAGAATGGGGCGCAGGAGATCTTATCCCAATGGTCCTTGTCCAGGATATAAAGTGGTTCGTGCCCAGTGGCCTCCATGCCGGGCATGTAGGAGTCGACCAAGAACGTGCAGTGCTGGACATCAACATATTTTCCAGGATCTTCTTCGTTCCGATCGTTCATCCCCGGCGGTATTAACCAGGTTCCCGGAAAGAGCCCAAACCCAGTCTTGCCCTCGTGAAACTCGCCGGGCAAGAGCCCATCGAACTCGCTCTTGATGAATTTCGCGTGGATGTTGTGTGGGAGAAAGTGCGAGGATGGGAACCGGTACCAGTCCTTTCCGAAGCAGACTATATTGTCAACTTGCGTCAGATTTGATGCGTTGAGCGTGTCGTATATCTGCAATGGAGCTCTGTACGCGGTCACCGTACCAACGATACGTAGCAGCCCAACATTGATGGCTAAGAGTGCAATGGGTAAAATAGCGGCCAGTTTTAATTGTGCCGGGACTTTTCCAAAGACGAACGAATTGGTCGAACCGATCCATGTCAGGAGGGAGTGAAATGCTATCGCTGCATTCAAGGCCAGGAAAGGGTAAGCAGGGAACATGAATCGCTCCTCCTTGTGGGGTTGGACAGTGAAAATGGCCAGCCATAGATAGAACGGAGAGAGGAAGGTAAGAGTCCTGAGAAGTGTTTGTTTGGTGGGATACTGGCGCAGGATGATAGACTGGAACAGGACGAGCGGTCCTGAAATCCCTGCAAGGATAAACCACATATTGAAGTTGAGCAGCAAATTCCTCAGGTAGTAGTTCCATGGCTCTGTCCCAAATATATTAGGACCACGATCTTTGCCGCTGAAGACATTGTAGGCGACGATACGCCAAGGCACCACCGCGATCTTGTGGTAAAAGAAAGTGTCGACGCAGATCTGAAGAACAAGAACAATTAAGCAGCGCACGCCACCGTACAGGTACTGCAAAAAGGTCTCAAAAAGGTCTGTTTGTCCTACCACGGCCATGAGCCATTCCTCGACAACGAATGGAACAATTAGTGCCCCTGAGAACGGCCATCCGAGCAGAGCACCAACTCCAAACCACATGATGCCTGTGGCAGTTTTTGATCTTCCGTGCCAATCCATGAAAGATGTCAGTCCCAAAGCAGCCGTGTACATGGCAAAGCTGGATGGCAGAAATGCAGAAGAGGCGTAGAAAAACCCCGGAGTGAAGGCAACAATCATGAGGTATATCACTCCGACTCTCGGATTGACGACTCGAGATATGGCCGAATAAAGACGGACCTCAGTCGCGGCGCAGGTAAATGCCAGCACGATACGCAAGGCATAAAACTCAAACATCTTCGACCTGCCAAAGAGGCCCGCAATTTTGGGTGGGAGGGCGTGTAGGCCAATATATGCCCAGCTCCGAATGCTGAATTCCGGAGAGTACTCCCAAGTCTGGAGGCCGTAACCATGGTTAAGGTAATGAAGTGGTTCCCAGTAGTTGAAGGTCTCGTCGCAGTCCTGTATTGGAGCATACAGCGCTGCTAGGAGGTGTGACGCAAAGCACACATAGAAGGCGACGTTCAGAGGCAGGAAGAACTTGGTAGGTCCTGGCCGAGGAGTTCGCTGACCCTTAGCTCTTCGCCGCGTCAGTGCTGGATCCAAGCAGAACCATTGCTTCCTCACCCTTTGGAAGACCCAAAAAGATCTGGTCGCCTGTTGAGACCCTCCAAGCTTGGGCCCATCTTTCTATGAATTGGCTTTTGGGTTGCAGTGTCCTGTGACCAAAAGTAGTTGTGAGGGCAGGGGACAGATATGCCAAGATAATATATGCCAAGATACATTCTATTTTTGGAATAGCGCGTGCGAGTCTGGGTTAGTCCCATTTAGGATGTTGCCAGTTCTCTCAGCCAGCCACGTTTTGGATGCTGCCCATTCACATGTATTTGAGCCCAGGAATCTGTCTTGCCGAGATGCTCAGACGCCCAGACCTCATGGCGGCGGCTCGAACCCGTGAGCGACTTGATCGGAGTTTTGAGTGCGCGGAAACATATGTGTGGAATCCCTTCTACAACGCCGACTGACACCCACCATTTTCCGCCGGCTCTAGGCTCGGATAATCAGATCCAGGGACAACGGTAGTAGTAGTGGTGCTTTGAAGCTTCAATTGCCGTCAGTTTCGTGTCCTCCAGAAAGTGTCATGCCTTGTCAGCTTGATATGTACCAGACGAGCAGGATCTGAGGCACATTCAAACTTCTTCAGCCTGAGAACAATATGCGCCTCCTTTTCCTACCGTATAATCCATCGAAAGATTCTCACGACGTCGACGAGACAGCAGAGGAATCCCCACAACAGCATGCCGCTAGGGCCTATCATAGCAAGGCAAAGTCCATCAGAAAGTCTGCCCTCCGCGCCCGACAGTTGTCTGCAGGTAGAGGCAAGGATCCAGCCGCGAAGGCCGACTCGAAATCATCCCTTGAATCGAGCAGCGATGGCCGTGTCAGGTCCGGAAGACCGATTCCTGAGCCAAGCACCGTTCTAGGGGCGGGCAGGGTTGACCCATTCAACGCCTATTGTACCCCGGATCAGCCTTTGATGGTTCATGAAATGCTTGATCATGGTCAGTCTATTCTTTTTTCAAATTTCCGTGGACATTTCTATTATCACTGCTTACGCCCAATAAGATATTGAGTCCATTCCAGCCCATTTTTTGGTACCACGGTCAAAAGGAATCTAACTGTCATTCTCAGCCATCTCGTGCCAGTGGTCTCTCTTTGCCGCAGATGACAGGCCCGAATCTCTGCTCATGGTGAAGAAGTCGGTCATGGACACTGCGATCCGCTCTCCGTTGTGTTTCCATACCCTCGTCTACTCCGGTGCTGCTCACAAAGCTTTTCACCAGTCTCCAACCGTCGACAATTCAAAGAGCGCGGTGTTACGCTTGACAAGCAAAGTGGAAGCGATCAAGTCGCTCAGAACGGCCCTGCAGTCTCAGGCGACAGCCTTGGCCGATGAAGTCATCTTTGCTATGGCTTTACTGGCCATTGTCGGACATGGAGAGAATGTCAGCGCTGTAGAGAAGCGTGAGAGAAGGACAATGTCAGCCGAGCAAGACGGCCAGTTCTACGCTAGCATGGAATATGAGTGGCAACACATGAAGGCCGTGATCGAAATCGTCAAGATGAAAGGTGGACTGCATACGATCCGCCTTCCTGGCCTTGCCTTTGCGCTTGCTTCGTAAGCATACGATTGGAGAAGTCAAGGTGCCATTCATTGACAGTGACTGCAGCTTCGATATCCATACGTCCATCATGTTTCAAACAAAACCATCGTTTCCTCTATTTATGCCATCCTCGCCAGTTGTCGGCACCTGGCTCACAAGCCAACCCGGAAGCCCAGCATTTCAGAGATGCCCCAACCTAACTACTGGGTTCTACTTCTTGACAGACTTGGGCCTGCCTACAGCTATCGAATTGCTTAACGTCCTGAACATCATTCGCGATCTGATCGTTGCTTTCGACAGCTATCAGCGGCGCGATGGTGAAGCTCCCCCCATCAAGATGATCATCTTCGCGCGAAACTTGAATCAACACGAGCTATTGACCTTACCCGACCTATCGGAGGAACTGTTCTCATCAAGTTTGGCCTACGTTGATACCCCAACTATTTTGAAAACGCATCGAGCACTTGCACTGTATGAAATCTGTCGGCTGTGTGCCTTTATCTTCCAGATTACGGTGCTTCTGCCGAACCTGCACGACAACATAGATGTGACCATACCCTATGCCCGGCGCATCAAACGATGTCTGCAATGTGCAACCACCGAATTGAATCTGCACCAGGACTCAATCTATCATTCGTTTTTCCTTTGGGTCGCCATAATGACGGCTTGGTCCGTAAGAAGCACAATCCTTTATGACTGGTTTGTCGACTTCTTAGTTCAACATGTGCGCGCCGAAGTGGCAGGTCGAGAAGTCGACTATAGGGAATCCTTGCGGATGACCGTGGAAGAGAGACTGGCCAGATTTCTCTGGCTTGAAAGTGAATGCGAAGCACCTTGCGCGGAGATCTGGGAAGACGTGACGGCTTCGCTGATTCTGGATAAGCAGTGCGCGTTTTGTTAGGCCATTGCATGATATCCTTCACGTTCTGCGATAAGGGCCGGCTAGTTTCGGCGCCCGTTCGCGGATGCCGGAGTAGCTGAAGAGCAATGACGGAGGGTCGATGGTGGGGTTCCAGAGTTATCTTTCAAAGGTCGACTCTATCCAGTGCCACCATTTAGCCTGTGGTTCATCTCGCGGCGTCGCTGGGGGCTTCCTTGGTCTCATTTTTCAGGTCGGCCATATTCATCCCACTCTTGGTCGGAGCAAAGGAAGGTAACAGTCAGTTATCTCTGAAGACATCGGTTGCACCGGTTGTGTCGACGCTGGAGGGAGAGGTTCCGGGAGGGGAGGGCAGAGAAGAACTCTCCCTCAATCGATTCGTTGTCGCTTTTCGTGGGGTCTTGTGATTGCTACACGCTCAACGAACTAAATACTCGGTTGACATGGATGATATCAGGACATGTGCGGAATACTTGAATGAGGTGTACTCGAAGAGCTTAATTAACTGGGTCTGATCAGGCGGTCGTCCGCTTCTACGCGTGGAAGTGCGCACATGCGGGCGGAGACATATCGAAACTAGCTGGTTAAGCTGGGCAAGGCTGGGCAAGGCTGGGGCAACAGATAACTACTTGTAGGGGTAGGGGGATTTCTTGGTGCGTCGTTGGGCTTGACATTCCTTACACCTACAAGTCAGAAAGCTGAAGACATCGCACTTCAATACTTACGCAATATAAATATCTGCATTACGTCTGCGGTGGACTCGGTGCTGTCCCATAGCTGCTTCCCGCTCAGATCCTTGCCTGGTCCTTCCCATCCTCGCCCAGTGGCCTCATTGGCCTGTCCCTGTAGCTAAGCGCAGCGCGTAGCGAATCCAAGTGTTCCTGGTAACCTTGGGTCCCTCTGAAAGGCTAATACTAATACACACCCTCTTCCTCGGACTTGCCTTACTGCGCAGCAAACTGTTATTGCACCGCTCTCCAGGCAGGCGTTTCGCCCCTTGCCATGCCTCGTCGTTTCTAGTTCTCCATCTCCCTCCCAAAGATAAAGCAGGCTTCCTACGTTGATCACCGCGCCTAGTATGATTACGAGTCATTTCCTTCTCGAGGTCTCATTATTGTCTTTTCTTCGTCTTCAGGTCATTGGTCTTGTTTCCATCCTCGATAGAGAACTTAGGTCATTGGCAGCCCTCCAGGATGTGTCTTCGCAAGCGTCGGGCTAGTGACGGTGGTCAGCCCAACAGCCAAATATGCTCGTACCAAAACTAAGGACTCTCGACTTGATGAGGTGAAAGGTCTTCACCTAATGTTATCGTCGTTCTAATTTCAATAGCAGGAGATGACTGGTTCTTCTGACCTTCCAGAGGCCCGTGGGGACTTCAAAATCGAGGTTAAGCTTAGATCCACGTCCAAGGCTGCCCGCAATGACCCAAAAATTCACACTGCCTCAACGTGAGCTATACCGAAAGGTCCTCTCGGAGCAGTCCAATGGAGGACCAGCTACTGCAGCATATCGCGCCGCGGCTTACTTTGCAGTCCGTCGTCTTAAATCAACTCACGACGAAGACGAATCCGATAAGCAAGCAAAAACACCTCTGATAATGGCGATGCTGGTAATGTTCACAAAAGTGACTCCCTTGAAAAGGTACCTGTGAGCATGGGAGAGACCGGGAAAGGCATCGATGCAGAAGAGAGTCAAGGAGACGATGTCGTGACTTGCCAGCATGGCGAGCAGACCGAAGGTGATGCGGAACATGAAAGTGACGACGACGACGACGACGAAATTGGCGACGACGATGAAAGTGACCTAGACGCCGAAGACGAAAGTAGTGGAGACACCAGTGAGGACGAAGATCGCTCCGAGTTTGATCCAGATTATGAGTTCGAGTGGCTAGAACCAATCGATATCGAAGTAATTCCTGCCATAACCCCGACAAACGCGGCGAACCGATGAGGGTTGTAAATTGCAACGCTAAGTTAATTAGAAGAGGCTAAATGCGGGATGATTTCTATGGATAGATGGAGCCACCTTCAAGAGAGACATCAATGCTCGCATTTAACCTATTCGACCGGTACGGTCGACTGAGATCTGAGTTCAAAACCCACCCGGTCATGAAGGGAACTGGTGTCTGGGGTCAGGAACTGGATCACGGGGATATACTCCTCATTGAAGAGGTCTTTGTCAACAAAGACTACCGCAGACAAGGACTTGGTCGAAGAATGATTGAGTCACTGTTGACACGGGCCCGGGAGAAGACGTGGTCTTTCTTTGCTTTCGTCTGGCCAACCTTCTTGAGATTGAACGACCTCAGCCGAGAGTGGGACAGCTTACCAGACGATGCGGAAAGACATAAATTGGAAGAACGCGAACATGACCGGGCTACCACGTTTTATAGGTCTTTAGGATTTCGAAGGGTGGGATCCGCAATCTGGTTTGCCCTTGGCTCTTAACAATGATCATCCCTCACACCAGCTTACCTCAATAGAGGATTTCAACCCCCCAAAGCCGCCTTCAACCCCTCTCCATGCCCTCTTGACCGCATTACAGCAGATTGCCAACCCTCCTCCGTCCCGTCTCGACCGAATATTGAACCCGGAGCTTCGCGAATCCCCAGACTTTCTTGACGTGCTTCAGAACTGTATGCAACAAAATGGTTCAGCTGATGCCTGCTGGACGAGTAAGGGCAAGTATGGCAACACAGTCCTTCATCTTATTGCGTCAATATTCAACGTTGCGTGCGTGGAATGGGTTTTGAAGCAAGGCTTCGGAGCTCGGCTTCTTAAAATGCGCAACAGTCGAGGCGAAGTCCCTCTCGATTTAGTGCAATTCAAACTCGAAAAACTCCGCACGCAGAAGGTTGTCAATCAATTAACTATACCTATCTCCGACCGATTTAAAGGACATAATGATATTGCTGTCCGTTGTTTAGTCTTGCTTAAAGGACTGGAGTCTGTGGACTCTCTCGTAGAGCTCCAGGGTCCGGATGCCCTACAGCGAATAGTTGGCGGATGCACGTGCGGACAATGTCTGAGAGGTTTTTTAAGTCCTAGGATGTCGCACGCTCTCCTATGTTAGGCTCATCTCGGACACTATATGATGAATAATGACCTCGATCAGTGGCTCGGGGCAGACTGGGTTGAAGATTGGGAGGATTATCTCGGTTACTTGCCTTCGAGGGTGCTGACCAACCTCATAACAAATAAGTCCATGCGTCAGGGCTTTGTGAATCTCTGGCTGCACGTTACGATCTGTCTGGAGAAGGGGGACGTGCCTCACGCATCCAATGTGTTGGACGTTGTTAGAGTTGCTCGGGAGTGGCCATCTGCTACTAGAAATTTTCTTCAAAGAGGAGGCACCGTGGAATCAGTGTTTCTGGCGATATATAGAGAGGCCATCAAGCAGGATAAGTGGACGGGAGATGGGGAGCACCAGGAGATATTTAGCGAGGAAATTGCAAACCTGCCTGAGTGTAGGAATGACCATGAGTTTGGATATGTTAGTGGTATGTGCGGTTACAGGCGTATTTGTCTCAGACCGACAAGGGATTTAATGGGCAAACGTCTTGACGAGGACGGAAACATTATCGATTCACTGCAGTAGCTGCTTCACGAGCTGGTAGGGCGTTCGATTAGGGTTGTGATAGAACATAAGGAAAGGCGCGTTGCTCAATGGTATTGATATCTGGCGCCCTTATGGTTCAGACTGGAAGATCTTCGTTCACGTGGGCTCTACTCCGAAGTAGCTTAGTTGTCTTCTCGAGCCATGCATGGGGAGTACTCAGCTTGGCAGTGCGGTCATAGACGCCCGTTCTTTCAAGAATGGATGATTTCCTTGTTGGTTTTGAGGGCGACTGTTTCTAATAATCCCTCTGCATTCGTTGTGATTTCGAGGGAGAACCGCCTCCAGAAGCGGCGGCAGAAACCGCCAAATTTGGTAGTGTATTTGCAGCTTGCGTTTGAACTGTACCCTTGGGCCTGGCGGTGCAACAGTGTGCGCGGTTAAGCAAAATGGTGATCCAGGCACCGAGACGCCTAAGGCCTCCGTTAAACTGGGACCAACCAAATGGCTACAAACGACAGTGCGGTGATTCATTGCTCCCTGTGATGCTGCCCAATAAATTCTACACCAGCGGTAAACTTTTGGTTAGCCATCTTTTGCCGCCGAACCTATGCACAAATGCTGTGGAAGGACAAGACAGTACCTAGGTACGGAGAGACATTGTCAATTTTCGAGGGCACCACATCTCGCGCACGCTCAAAAACGTCTCGAGCGCGTCTTCTCACTTGACGGGCCATCCGATCTTCTCGATAAACTCCTCCATGTCCTGCAGCATTTCCTTTGGCTTTTCCATTGCCGCGAAGTGGCCACCCTGTATATTTGTTGTCAAACTCGCGTTAGCCTTCTGCCATATGAACTCGCATGTGTGTATGTATGTATGGATGGATGCCATAAGTGCAACCCCTGACAGATTGAAATATACTTCCGATATTTGTATAACCCACGTTCAGAAACACTTCTCCACTTGAGCAGACGGGCATGGGAAGGGAGCGAAAAAGGGGGGGAAAGATGGCCTGCAAAGGTGGCAAAACTCACCGACTCATGCTGTCTGAAGAGCACGAGGTTGTGGCCCTGCGCGAGCACCCACGCTCTCGGCACCGGTGCTAGCTCCTTCGGGAACCACGAGTATGCCACCGGTTTGTCGTTTTTGTACTTTGGATTTCCGTGCGGGAGGCCGCGGCCACCTGGAACGGAAAACTGGTTTGAGGAGTCAGCACATACATCATAGCCTCGTTAGCAGCAGAAGAACATTTGTGGTATTCTTCGTACCTCGCGGTAGCAATAGATGCAACGTGGGAAGGATTCGGTGAACCAGTACAAGGTAATGGAATCCAGTATGTTCTTGAGAGGCGGCGTTTCGTCGGTCCACTCGATGAATTTCTCGCCAATCCTGTCACGTTTGCGATTTCAATTATTTGGCCACCACTTTTGCATAGACGCCGACATTGGGCCTTCTTCAAGGGCTATATTTGAGATTGCTTACCATGCTAGCTGAGCAATTGGGCTGGAAGCGAGCACAAACCCGATTGTCGCCGGTCTGGTGCCGTGTTCTCGAGCATATGCATTTCCCGTCGTGTAGAACGCCTTCATTCGTGTCTCCATGGCTTCTTTCTCGGCTTCGGTGATTTGGCTCTCGTCAACGCCTTCCGGTGGTTCGCTGGACACGGCGAAATTGTCTGGACGTTCCTCAGTTGGGGGATGACGGGGCCGGATGGAAGATACTCACAATGAACACCTGTAAAAGATGACTCCGTCAGATACACACTACATAATTTGCTTGGCTTTGATCGGACTAGTTCCGCTCACCTTTACACTGATCATAGGTTCCTGCCATGACCTTGGCCGTGAAAGAGCCAATATCGCCGCCTTGGCAGATATACCCACTCCCGAAGCCCAGACCAACCATCAACTTATTCATGATGCGAGCAATATCTTCGGTATCGAAGTTCTTGGTCAGGGGTGGACCGGAGCTGAGGGTCCACCCCGGCAGCGAGGGTGCAATGATGTGGTAAGGCAGCTCCTCTGGCGAGTACTTCTTGCGATACAGGTCCATGATGTCGAGAAATTCAAAATGGCTACCAGGCCAACCATGCATGTAAAGGAGAGGGACGGCATTTTGTTTCTTGGAAAAGAGACCAATGAAGTGGACGCGGAAATCCTCTCCGTCGTCGTCCTTGATATGGGCGATGAAGTTTGGAAATGAGTTGTTGTACTTTTCGACAGCACGCCTGTTTTCAAGAGCTTAAGATCTTGACTGTTGTTGTCGCCCGTCCCGAAGGATCAGAACATACCAGTCATATTCATTCAGCCAGTATTCTTTTGCCTTTTTCATCCAGTCATAACTGACACCAAACTTTCCATCATCAGTGTGTGTGTTCTCATATGTGCGTGGGGCTAGCTTGGAGAGTCGCAATAGGTCTTTGAAATCAGAGAGGTCCTTGTCGGGAATTGACAGGGTGAATGTATCCAGTTTGACCTCGGCATTTTGAGGGACAGTGTCATAGCCTGCCATCTTGTAGGTAGTGTATGACTCTGAACCTAGGTCAAGTAGGGGGTGAAATAGTAGAAAGGACGGGAAGGAAAACGGGGGAGCTGGGTCTATCCGAGTGAGAAAACCGGGGGCCTCGAGCCTTTTATACTAGTTCTTACCGTCTCGCTGATTGAGGCAAGTGGGATACCTCGGATCAAGGTTGTGCAAGATCCCTGGTGGCTGCATACTCTGATGTGTCGCTGCTCTGGCTCCATCCCTCCATTCTTAAAGGGGATTCATGAAAGACATGTCTAGTGCGACTGCTCATGCTTCTCGGGTTCCTAGACAGTGTCAACATGGACCGATGATAGTTTTCGATTAGAGTAATGTCTGTGAAACGGTGACCTTTCAAAGCATCCCCATCTGGAGCATGTGTGTTGCTGGATATTGTGGCCAAGAGGTGGGGCCCGAGATCTCCGCAGAGTTGAAATCACCAAGTGCCGAAGTGCGGGCATCTGTTAACTGGAAGGGAGATTCAAGAGTACCCTGGGGCCTGCATTCTGGATTGACACCGCGCCTAAACGAGACCGGCATAGTGGGTCGAAGCGCTAGAAACGGTGAGACGATATATTGAAATATTCCTCTCAGCCAAGTTTAATCCACGACCTGCGTGGTCCAGCCTCCTCCCAGGCCTTGCTATGGATCTGTCCCACGGCGATCCTTTCAAACGCATCAATACCAGGCCGCAGCACTAACACGTTCACCAAACCACTACCGGGCCCCTGAGCGCGGAACTCGTAGGCATCAAACCGCTTGACATCACCTTCGACCCTGGTCAGGCCTTCGCGTTCCGCATAGGCATCCCTGCTCTGAGAAATGGCGATTATGATTTTATCGTTCAGTGTACGCAGGGATTCGAGGTCTTGCTTCGTCCGCCCTTGCACTCGCCGCAGGATTGAGTGGTAGTCGATGTGTTCGAAAAGAATCCCGCAATGTTTGCCGTGTTTGTCATAAATGCGGACGACAGCTTGACGCGTCTGAAGATGGATATGCTTCGAACTGCTCAAGTAGACTGGATCAGTATCACGAACTATTGAGAAAGTGGGCCCATCCACGAATGGCGGCATAAAATGGAGGACTTTATTTTTCTGTGCCTGCCTGACATCCATGCTTATCCGGCCGAAATATTCAGCAAGAAGGCCCGGTGAAGCTTTGGCATCATTAGCGGAGCATGGTCTCTGATATCCGAGCAGTCGCAGTATCGTTCCCTCACGAATTATGAAAAACTCGCCAACCAGCGAGTCAGGAGGTGGTTCTTTGTCCAGTGGCAGGAGACGGTAGTCGGAGGCGCCGACCCAACCTGCCCAGGACCATGTCGGAAAATCCTGAGTGACTGCGCCATGCGTAGAGCATGTCGATGGCCAAACCTTAGATGGCGAGGAAGAGGTTGTAGATGCCTTTCCAGGCCTCCTCTGCAATGGCTCCGTGGGAGACCACAAGAGGCCAAGATCAAGTGCGGCAATGGGGAGACCACAAAGCGTCTCACTCTGGAAATCATCTTTGAAGGCCGACAACATGCCGGAGAAAGTATCTAGAATGTCAGTCGGCTGCGTCAGATCCCGAGTAGTATATATCTCCACCAGCTCACTATAAGCCCTGAAGACCTGTCGTAATTTTTCTTGGAGACACATTACCTATTTTACGGAGTTCTGTGATTGGGTTTCTGATAGTAAACGCAGGTCCCTCGTCGGCGTCTTCACCTGGATCATCCTGGCCTCCACTTTTCGAACCCTCTTCAGTATATCTACCTTGCAGCATTGTCTCAGAGACAACCTCCTTGCTGCATTGGAAGTACACATAGCTGGGGGAGAAGTATATGTTTCGACGAGCAAGTGTTTGCCCCTGCAAAACCCATCCTCGCGTATTCCATGTCGAGCTTGTTTGCGCATGAGCCAGAGGCTGTGGAGTGGAAACCAAACGGACAGTGTCTGTTTCAGCAACAGGGTCTTCTCGCAGAGCGAGGTCAGTTGACCCTGAAGTTATCGAGAGAACTTCGACCCTCTGTGGAGCTCTCGAGTTGGGTGACACTCCTGGCAAGCCAGCATTGGCATCATGCCCTGCAAGAGCAACAATATTGGTGAATACCTTTTTGTACACAATATCCATTCGTCCTATGTCCCGTTCCTTCATCGTTGCATCGTCCTGGATAATACAAAGCGCATCGGTCCATAAATATCGCTCACCCAGCGATCGGACGAATATCATGGCGTCTCGTATAGTGTTGGGATATTGTGAGGGGTCCATGCTTGACTTCTGAAAGCGATCTTGGATATTAGCATTGATCGTTTGGGAAATCTTGACCTTGCCCCAGGCATAGCTCAGAGTAAAGTACCTCTCCGCAGATGATGCTTGAACCAAACAATTGTCCTGGACATCGATAAGGATTAGCGGGATCTCGCCGGCGTACCTCTGGGTGTTACCCAGGCTGTTGCAGAGTTCTCCATGATTGCCGTTACATTCATAGAGCCAGCTGCGGATCTTTCCAAAGTCGACTCTCTCATCGCCCTGAGCAACTGTGGATACCGCTTGTTGTAAATGTTCAGGAACAGACTTCCAAGCAAGGCGTGGACAGGGCTGTCTTAGGGCGTCGGATAAATTGTCTGGTTTGAGCAATCGCAGTGCTCCGACGGTCGTCATGCCATACTCGACCCCCAGCATGACCTCCCCAGAAGGTAAGAGTTGTGCATGGAACTGTGTGCCTTGTGTTTCACGATCAATCTGCGCGAGGTGTGGATGCAGGGTGTGCCCTCCGTCTACTGTATCGAGCGACAGGATCAAGCGACAAATCGAGCAGTGTTTTCTGGTAAGAAGTTGAGAATATGTCCCGAAAGGGAAGAACTTGTTGCTGCCCCAGGTGAAGCCGCCACCATCCATAGGTTTCAGTAATTTGACATGCCTGCAAACGCGGCACAGGTTGGGATTGGGAGATTTCCCTTCCAGTTTCTCTTTTGCGAAGCTCTCGTCTTCAAGTCGCGCTTCTAGAGCCTCAAAATTCGCCCACGATTTCGGATCTTCATCTTCCGTGTAGCCCAGGACACTCTTAACTAGACTTTCTGCGGAAAATACGATTCGCTTGCGATGAGGGTCAATGGCCAGCTTCCTGTGTCCAAAAAAAGAATCGGTATAATCATCCTGATCAAGCTTGCGGCTCCTGGTCCACCTTTCTTCATCTTCTGTCGACTTTATCGCTTCCTGTTTCCTCAGCATGTCGATGTCCGCATCAATTTGTCTCTGTGACAACGTATGATCAGAGGCCAGGTGCCTGCACAAACTTTCAAGTTCGTGCCCGTGCTCGCGGCACATGACTATCAGGCCTTCAAATGGTCTCCGGGATTCGTGGATGGGGATGTGCCATTGAAGGAGTCGCGCCAGAGCCTGTTGCCTAACTGGGCTTTCTACTGCAGCACGCTCGATTGTCTCAAGGCATGAAGAAAGATTGAACAAATCGGCAGAAGGAAATTTTGGACGAGTAATGTCAAGTTTTTCGTTCCATTCGCCAACGCTTACAGTGACGAACGAAACGAGATCTCTCAGATGCTTGATATCATGAGAAATGAGGTATTTTTTGGACAGGATACCAACGAGCGACAGATTGCAACAGTGTCGCTTTGTATGCGACTTCGGTACTTCATCATGGAACAGGCGAGCTTCCTCGAGGGCTGATTCCACGATGTCCATAGACTCAGCTATGTAGACATACTCGACAAGATGAGATAAGAAATCTGAGACATGGTCGGGTCGAATTTGATACATAGAAGGTATTGACTGAAGTCTCTCCCGTGAGTGCCCTAGAGCAGCGTCCAAGTCCGCTTTGTCGCCACTCTGCTTGTACCTCTGGTGGTGTAGAAGTGATAGTTGGAGCAGAACATCGGGTCGGCGCTCATGAGTCATCCCGAGTGACGTCAATCCAGCCACGAAGCCGGCGATGGCACTGTCGAGGCGGTTGATATCCTTGGTCTGCTCAAATCTATCGTGGAGTATGTATGCTCTGACCAGCAACGCAGAGCCGTGCTGTGCTGAGCCAGGAGGAAAGCTCTTAAGTTGTTTCTCTAGCAGCAACAAAGCCTCTTCCGCATCTTCAGCCTGGCGACGCATTTTGTATCGAGCATGTAGACGAGCACCGAGGTTGACTGTAGTTGTCTGGTATTCCTGGCTGTCTGTATGCGCAAGTTTCAGGATTTCTCGGCCACAGCAAATGGCCTCGTCAAGATCCGTAGCATTGTTTGTTAACTGTGCTCTGTGTGAGATGCTGTATCCCAGATTGTGGTAGATTGTGCAGAGCGAAGGATCATTCGTCAGCAAAGCCTCGTCCCTCGCTTGCTTTGAGTGAGTTATGGAGCTATCAAGTACTTCCATTGATTTGGATACACTAAAGCTCGTCATCTCGACATATGCCAGTCTGTCCAGGAACTTTGCCCGCTCCAGAGACGGTGTCTTGAGAAGTCGAATGATTGCTTGATAATGCTGAATGGCCTTGGCGAGGTGGGTTGGATCCTGGGTAGCTCCAAAGAGCATTTCTGTAATGGAAGCCGATGTTGTCCGGGACGCGATTTCCTGGTCTGCTGTCAGATTGCCAGAAGCTATTTCTTGCTGTGCCAGGTTCATCGATTGTAGGATCCCAGCTAAAGCATCTTCAGCTGTCGCTGGCACGACATCTGGTCTTTCCGCAGAGGATGAGGCCACGACTGATGATTCTCTAGGAGACGCGTGCCCTCGGCTGGGTGGCGGTCCTGGCTTTTCCATGCCTGCTCGTCTAGGGACCGCTATTCCGTTTTGATCTTGGTAGTTCAGCCTTGTTGTACCCTAACAAGGTGGATTGGTCCTTCAGGGGGTAACGTACGGGGCTGACTCTACGGGTGCGTACCGGATAGAACGTGACAGATAGAGCCGTCTTCTGTGATGAGGAAAAAAAAGGATAGGAGTGGGAAGGTAGAAGACTACTCCGTCCATCCCATCTCGCCGCATTTTCGACCCCAATTGTGATCAATGTTTCCAGTATGAGTTTGGCTCGGTAGTGGTGATCGCCTGGGCGATCTTACTCAATACAGGCGGATAACCCTGGTGGCACCGATGTCGCCGCAAGGTGCGTGGATTCCCTGATTGGTCGCAACGGAGACGTATTTGGATCGCCTGTCCGATTACTACAGGATACGACAGATGTGAACACCTGTTTACTTGCTGGTTCATCCAAGGAACTATCCAAAATCTGATCTGTGACGTTGGTAGACCCTTCCCGATTCTAGGTTCGAGTGTTTCCTGCCTTCTAGGCATTTTGAAACGTGGACCAAATGACCGCGTCTACGCCTCACAAAGCTGGCGTACAGGGCTCCAGCAGTGTAGACGGCCACAACGGACATAGTGGCAGGCCATTTGAAGTTAGACGGCCGAGGAAATATAATGGTCGACGCGTATGCACAGAGTTCAAAGGTATTCTGAAGGGAGGACTCGGTCGTGGAGAAAGCCCCACGATATTCTGGCTCAACCTGTTCTTGGATGATCACTTGTGCCGAGAGCTCAAAACCCCAGAGGCCAATGCGGCTGAGGATCGTGCCTCCAATAAGTCCAGAGGCGGCCCAAATCGGCGACCCCGCTATCCAGAAGAATCCAAGGGCGATTGCTAGACAGGCCATTTGGAGGTTGAGAAACCAAAGGCCCGATCTGACGGGCCCGATCCAAGCCATGATTGTTGGCGCCATCCAGGTAGCCGACATCTCACACCCAGTTGATATCAAGCGGATCAGTGCAATCATTGTTGAGGTATAACCGCTCGCCAGAAGATATGTGACCATTTGTCCAGCGAAGGACAACACCGTCAGGTACAGGATGGATAGTGAGAGCGAAGGCAGGAAGGCACCTTGAGACGTGTATATCTTCAAATTTCGCCACAACGACAGCCTAACAGGACCACGTGGGACGGACTCGGATGCTTGTGTCAGGTCATCGCTGCATTCGCTTGACCGGGTCGAAGACGGACGACCGCGCACAAGACTCGGGAATGCCTCATATACCCTTGCAATGAGGACATATTCTGCGATGGTTGAGATGGCATTGACGGCGCCCATGACGGCGATGGCAATTCTTGTGTTGTAGCTCTCCAATGAGGCGATGAGCAGAGGACTGCAGAGTTTGCAGAAAAGATCGATACGACGCATTTGGGAATTAAGGGCTCGGAGGATTACTTCGTTGTCGCCCGCAATTACCACGACCCAATCTCTTTCGATAGACACGGTGTTCATGATTGCACAGAGCTTTTCAACACAAGCCAGGACAATAGTGACCGCCAGGAGTGCGTAAAGACTCCACGTGTTGAGGAACGGCCTTTGCCAGAGCATGATATAAAAGACGCCGCAGGAAAGCACGACGGCTCCGCGTTGATAGACAATTGAATCGCGAACAACCTTTAAACGTGAACCTGTATCGATATACCGTCCAACAAGAGGGGCGAAAACGATAGCGGCCAACGCCCGGACCAGAGCGTAGATGGACAACGGTAACAATGTATTTGGGAAGATGTTGGCTAGGAACAAGACGGCGCCGAATTCGAATGCGCGGAAATTCCAGGTGGATAGAAAGTGGGAAACATAGAGTCTCCGAGCAAGTCCGGGGGATATTTCATCGCTCGCTGAGTCTCCTCCTGCATTGACACTCGCCAGGAAGGGTGCATCGCCTTCGGAAATGGAGCCAGCTGACATAGGGCTACTGTTGTTAGCACCTCTGTCAGGTAGAGAGTCCAGCGAGGGAAGTCTTGACAAAGCAATGCGTTCTGACGGGAAAACCGCGACATCAGCCATGAAGAAGCGGCGATAGTCAATAACGATAATTCAGTAATGCTCAGGGTAGAGAACACTTGCAAATTTCAATTCCAGATGCGAAGATTGAGAAGACCTGCTGCGACGACCAATAGAAAACCCATGGAAGAAGTTTCGGTGTAGAAGAACCTGATGGGTGAGTCGTAAGTGAGGCGGAGAGGAGGAAGTGTTGTTCCGGGTGGCCATCAGCCGCCACCAGCTGCGCAGGTGCCGCCAATTCATGCTCGTCTTTCTCCGCATTTTCCAGAATAATATTTTTTTTTTTTGGACGCGATTCATTGTCCTGCTGTAAACGGTAACCGCCAGTTCACTCACCAGGTTCATCCCATTACCGAGCCATGGATGCTGAAGACTTCCCAACATCTCCTGCTAAGCGCCAGAGAATGGGTTCACCAGACGAAACTTGGCGTACCATCTACCCTCCCGAGTCAATACCCGCCACTGAGCAAAATGGTTCTGTTCGCGAGCAGCTCCCATCCGAGGAGGGCGTTTCCACAGCAGAGCCAGAACCACAGACATCGGCTACCAGTTTGGACAAGGGAGAAGGGCATGCACCCCCTGAGCAGCCGGGCTCAAATTCTCTTCTAGATGCGCTGATGCAGCAAGTCGAGGCAGAGGCCGCCGCTGCAAGACCACTGTCAGACCCTTCCACGAGTACGAGCGGCATGCCTACGACCGATGGGATGGCGCTTGACGGAGGACTGAACAAGGGCGAAGACGGAGGACTTGATGTACATGCCCATACGAATGACCCGGTTACTACAAGTCAAGAGCATGCGTCGGGTGCTGCCGCTTCCAAGGATGTTGAGGCCATGGACGTGACGGAGACTGTTGCCCTCGACAATAATGCCCAGCAAGGAAGCATTGCTAAGGTCACAATCGACACCAATACCTCCGTGCTCACGCTGGAAAATGCCGCCGACACACTAGCCCCTGTCGATTCCAACGCAACCGACGCAATCCCCGCAGATGGCGCCGATGCACCTGAACCAGGTGCTGAGGGCGCCGAGTGGGAAATCGATTCATCACCCTATGAGTCCTCCTCAGATTCCGATTCTGACACCTCGGATGATAGTTCTTCGGAAGAAGACAGCGACGAGGATGCTGACGGTGACTACGCGATGCTGGATCCCGAGGAGGCGGCGCGGATACTTATGCAAGGTGATGCAGGTTCCGATGACGAAGGAGGAGGACCCCGGGACAAAAAAGAGGGAGGTCCGCTACGGACGGCAAATGAACGCATGGAAGAAGTCATACCCAAACCGGACATTATTGTCACAGAAGACATGAAGATTGAAGAATTAGGCAATGTTGAATTTGTGGTGGAAAGTACTGTCGTTGTGAAGGCTACGACATCGGGAGAATATCAAGTGTTAGAACCCGGGTCCTTGATTTGTCTGAAAGATCGATCAGTGGTAGGAGTGGTTGCCGACTTGATAGGGCGAGTCGAGGAACCCAGATACACGATTCGGTTTACCAACGATGACGACGTTAAAGAGGCCGGCCTCTCGGAAAGTGGCACCACTGTGTTTTACGTCCCTCAACATTCGACGTTTGTCTTCACTCAACCGTTGAAAAGTGTCAAGGGAAGTGACGCGTCAAATTTCCACGATGAGGAAGTTGGTGAGGACGAGATGGAGTTCTCAGATGACGAGGCTGAGGCCGAACACAAGCGCCAGATGAAAGCCAAGAGGCAGGGAAGGACATTGGACACAGGAAGAAGTCGTGGCAGCTCAAAGTTTGCCAAAGGACCGCATCGTGGTGGAAGCGGCGGAGGTCGAGGGGGCGCTGGCCATCGCCACTACACCAACAGTGATGGCTCTGCATACGGTAGTGGCTCGCTGGAAATGAACTATGACGATGTGGCAGTGCCAGATACAGGTGATGATGGCTATACGCCATTGCAGAGGCCGACTGAGCTCACAGGAATGGTGGCCAACGGAGAACCGCTTCGAGAGCAGCCCCAGGAACGTGGCATGATGCATCCGCTTCCACCACTGCCCCAATCCTCGTATTTAAGAGGAAATGAGTCGGGCGGGAGGGGGAGAGGTTATGGTCATGGCAGAGGAGGCAGAGGAGGATTCCGACCCCAACGTGCACGTGGTGGCTTCAGCCAGCCTCGTGAAGCTCCTTTTGGTCACCACCATGCTTCCCACAACAATCATCAAAATGGCTACAACACTTCCACAGGACCTCTGCCAAATCTGAACCTTCCAGCGACGCCCTCGATATCACCGCAAAACATATCATACCCCCCAATGACGCCTTCGCCAATCACTCCCCTCCCAAATGCTCAGTTCAACTTTGGCCAAAGTTTCCAACCTCCCGTCAACTTCTCCTCGTTCACTGCACCACCAGGCATGCCTCCGCCCCCCCTGTTTCTGGGTAACAATTTTCCCCATCAGCAGCAATATCAGCAGCAGCAGCCAGGCCAATATCAAGGCGGCCAGAATCATTATGGCTCTAAGCCTCACACCAGCGGAGAGACAAACTGGCTCTCTGGTGCTTGGGCCAACAATCCAGCTATTGCAGCAGCGTTGCAGAGGCAGGCGGAGGAACAGAGAAGGGCACAGGGACAGTAAGTAAGATGTATGTGAAGATACTGTACAATTTAAGCTTGGAAAGTCAACCATGTTCAACTAGCCAGCAACCAGTAGAGCGGCATTGACGAACACGATGTTCAAAATTCACAATAAGTTTGTCTCTCTTATTTTTCTTTTGCTGTAAAACTTCTCTCTTCCCCTTTAGCGGCTACCAGGACGACGAGAAGTCTCACCGACGACGCTTAAGTTCCTTCCCTTCTCCTTCCTTTCCCTGCCACCTTTCTTTCGTTCTGCTGTTTCTTTGACACCCTTCAACTTTCCGCACTTCATTCGTTTCGCAGAAACGATCAACGTGGAGGAATAAACCCTCTCAGGCGGCCGGCCCGAGCACAACATCCTGTTTCAATACACGGATTAGCAGGAACGGGCACGGGGATTAAATCGACAGATACTGGTTTAAAGGAGATAGAGATGGAGATGGATTGGTGGAATGGATGTGTGCCTCGCTCATCGGCAAAAGAAGGAGGGAGGCGTGAGAAATGCTCTCTTATTGAGAAGGGTACAATGGGAAGGGAAAAAGGGGGAGCACGCATCGAATCAAAGAACTTAACTCACCCGACTAATCCTCCCACCGAGTCCTCTCACCCTGATTCCCGTCCAGTACTCAAACTGCCACAGGCCCTGCGTGACCAGCGTCTCTAGCCCTTGAACAGTCTTCCAACCGCCCACTTCCTCTGCCATCTGCATCACGGCCGTGTGCGCGGGCTTGTACGCCAGTTCCAACAGCGTACGTGTGGGTGCCGAGGTGCCTTGGCCCTTTGGAGCCGTGGATGTCGCGAGTAGAGCGGACCGCGAGAAGATCTTCTGGAGGGACGCTGCGAGGGGAGGGTCGATGGGCATGTCGGCGGGGATGGTGGCGATGGCGACGACCGGCGGCGTCGTCATCTTCTGCTCTGTCGCCCCAGACCTCTCGGCGTCTAGTAAGACGAGGTCGTAGAGCGGCGGGAATGTCCTTGCAAGTTCTTCCATCTTGCCCTGATTCCTCCCGATCAAGTAGATGGGCTTATACCCCATCTTGTGCAGCGTGTGGATGGCCGCTCTCGCCGTGCCGCCGCCACCGATGACCAAGCCGGACTGCTCGCCTTCGCCCAGTGCGGCAGACGCACCCGCTGTACGGAGGCAATCCATCATGCCGAGGAAGTCCGTATTGTAACCGACCAGCGAGTTCTTGCCTGAGATGGGGTTGGAGACGGGGACGATGGTGTTCACAGCACCGATGAGACGAGCAGACGCATCCACATCGTCCAGAAGAGGCATTACGTCCAATTTAAGCGGGATAGTTACGCTTGCTCCCCCAAAATCCTCTGCCCGGATAATCTCCTTTATCACCGCTAGGTCAGTGGTCTCGCACAAAGAGTACACGTGTGGCAGCCCCGTCTCCTTGAACAGTGTATTGTGCAACTCGGGCGACTTGCTCGCGCTGATCGGCGATCCGAAAAGGTAGAACTTCTTGGGCACGATCTCGCCTATCAGCGTCAATCCATGCCGAATTTCGCATGCAGAGAGCTGCCCTGGTGCGGCTTTGAAGGGGAGGGACGGGTGAGAGACCGGGGTCATGAAGCCGTTCAAGACCCTAGAAATCTGCCCTGTCCGGCCCATGTTTATCGCGATCAGAGGCAGGTCCGGGTGTTGGGAGTTCGACCACTGCTTGAAACGTCGGAGGGCGAAATTATCGTCAAGGATGCCGGCAACTCCGATCAGTTTCACAATGTCGCCATACTGGAGGCATTTATTGTAAATGGAGATCCAAGAGCCCGGCTTCGACCAGGATAACGTTCCCTGCGGGTCATGATGTGAGGCAATGATTCGCGTGTTAGACCTGTTCTTGAAGCTGAGGATCGGGGAGAGGACGGACTCGGGAAAAGACGCCACTTCCAGGTCCAAGAATTCGCTGCCCATGCGGATGGCGAGGGTGCACAGATGGAGATACTCTGCATAGGCCTCGTCGGGGAATTTGCCGCCTTGGGATTTCGTGCGGATTGTGAAAACAACAGGAAGAGGGACGGTTGCGCGGAGCAAGGAGAGTTGAGAGGTGACGTAGTCGGTGGAGGGGATGGTGCTATCTGAGTTGGGATCCTTGAGGAGGTCGACGCGCAATTCTACCGCGTCGGATCCAAGGCAGACTTCGGGTAGGATTTTCAGATGAGGTCGCAGGTCCGGGAAGGTCAGAGACGCGAAGAAGGTCTCTGACTTCCGCTTGAATTTGGACAGAACGTCGATTTTGCCCGTCACCATCTGTAAAAAGCGGTCGAAATCCTCAGCAGCTTCGGACATTTGCTCGTTGGGGATGCTTTGGCTGTAATATAGAAGATTGCTGCATTGTTCGAACCACGGCTTCCTCCGGAGCCAGACACCCATCATGTCTTCCACGTATGCTGGTCTTGTTTTGTCAATTTGTAGGAAGTCCATCACTTCGTTGATGTCACGTTCAACCAAGAGAACGTGGCCGTTCTTCTCATGCCATGCGACCAACAAGTTCCGCGCTTCCTGGGTCTCGACCACACCGCCACCACAGGCGAAGACGTAGCCATTTGGCATGTCTTTCATGACAGATTTGAGGAGCTCCAACTCGCGTTTCCGGAAATAGCCCCAGCCTTGTCCCTTGATGATCTCCGGAATCGACATGCCTTCGCGGGTCTCCAGCTCGGTGTCCAGGTCGACTAATTTCTTGCCTAGTGATCTTGCCGCCCAGCGCCCGGAGGTGGTCTTGCCGGCACCTCTCATGCCGATGATGAAAATTGAAGCCGCGCTTCTATCTAATTTCTTTGCTTTAGCATGTTCGGCAATTTCTTGCAGTTCAACACCCTCGAGTTTGACGTTGAATCGCAGAGCCATAGTGTCCCACCACCCCGGCCAAGTTTTGCCCGTGCATTCTTTCTCGAGAATGAGAGTAGATTGAGGCGCTGCCAATGCGAGAACACTGAAGCTCATGGCGACTCGATGATCATCATAGCAATACACACCTCCCTGCGGCCGTCGTAGTCTGGTACGGTCAATCCCGTCCACTTCGATGCCATCGTCAAACTGTCGGCATGTAACACCAAACTTTGCTAGCTCATCCTCCATCGCTTGAATGCGGTTGCATTCTTTGACCCTTTGATTTGCAATGCCATATATACGGGTTGTGTTGGACTTCCCGCCCTGAGCCACGGCCGCCAAAACAGAGGCAGTCAAGAAGGCGTCCGTCATTGGCTCCATGTCGATATTTGCCAATGGTACAAGCTTGCCATCTCGAGGCCCCGTTACTGTAGTTGATGTAAGTGTCTGTTTCACTTGACAACCCATCGGTCTCAGCACATCGGTAGCGAATGCCGAATCGCCCTGGAGAGAGGCCGAGCCAATATTGGGAATTGTGCATGTTGTGCCTGTTATCGCCGCAATTGCAAGTGGGTAAGTTGCAGAACTTGCATCGCTTTCGACCACATACTCGGTCGGGTTCAAGTAAATGCCTTGCGGGATGTGATAGGTGTGTTCTTCTGTTTTTGACTTTTGCACCGGCACGCCGAAAGAGACCATCATTGCGATGGTCATGTCGATGTAGGGTTGCGAAACAGGCTTTCCGCCCACGAGTCTGAGTGTAACAGGCTTCTTTGCATAGGGGGCACACATAAGCAGAGAAGAAACATATTGTGAGGACACCTTCGCGGCCAATTTGATTTCACCGCCGTTGAACCCAGCTGAGGCCGTGACGTTGAGCGGTAAACTTCCATTATTCTCCATATATTCGATTCCGGCGCCATTTTCTCTCAACGCATCTACGAGATCTCCGATAGGTCGCTGCTTCATTCGGGCGTTGCCAGTAAGAACTGTAGATGCTACATGGCTCTGCCTGGTTAATGTCGCAACTGACGTCAAGAATCTGGCGGCCGTTCCAGCATTGCCCAAGTAGAGCTCATGTTGTGTGGCCTCAAGCCGACCACCATTCCCATTCACAACAAGGACTTCACCATCTTCTTCCCAGGAGAATGTGGCAGCTCCAAGTCGTGTCAGAGCCTCTAGCATCACTTCTGTGTCTGCTGAGGTCAGCAGATTCTTAATACGGCATGTTCCGTGACCGAGTGCTGCAAGGACAAGCGCTCGGTTGGAAATGCTCTTTGAGCCAGGTGGAGTGCAGACAACGTTGAGGTCCTTGGGTACACCTGGAACCACTTCCACGCTTGGAGAAAGCACAACGCGCAGGTCGGAGTCTGAGACAACGCTGGCTTTCTGTTCGTAAGTTCGACCAATTCCTGAGAGAAGGACCACCTTCTTCTTGGCACCATCGTTTTTCTTGTCCACGCCCATCTTCTTTAGCATGCCGTCGACCGTACAGACCTTACCCCCGGACAGTTTGCGCACTCTCTCGTCGTCGAGTCGAGTTGGCAGACCGTACGTAGTCAGACACTTTTGCAGACGGCCGACAGCAACACCACTGAGAATACCCAAGTATCGAGCGAGCTCAGCCTCCTTGATCATGCCAATTGCAACACATTCACCATGGAGCACTTGGGGTGTCAGAAAAGCTTCAATGGCGTGGCCGATAGAATGTCCAAAGTTCAATAAGTTGCGCAGGCCGGTCTCTCTTTCGTCGATGGTAACGACGTGGGCCTTGAACTTTGCGGAGGCAGAAATAATTCTGATCAAAGTCGCCTCTACGTCCTTGAATCTAGAAGCACCTTGACTGATATCGGCATTTACAGCAGCCATTATCCGCTCAGCATGACGTTCCAGCTCGATGAATTCTTCTTCGTCAGAAATCGCTGCGGTTTTGATGACCTCAGCCATTCCATTGATCAATTCTCGTCGAGGTAGAGTTCCAAGGAAATCAAGGTCGATGTATATTCTTTGCGGCTGCCATATAGCTCCGACAAGGTTTTTGCCGAGAGGTGTATCAATAGCTGTTTTTCCGCCGATCGAAGAGTCAACCATTGCAAGCAGTGTTGTGGGGACTTGCACAAATCTCACGCCGCGCATATATGTGGCGGCAACAAATCCTGTCAGGTCACCCACAACGCCACCTCCTAACGCAATGATGACCGTGTCTCGACCACATGGCGGGCTCTGGCTGAGCAGCCAATCTTCGATGTCGTCCTTTGTTTGTCGAGATTTTGAGCTCTCTCCTGGCGGAATTTGGTGCATCAACAACCGCGCTGATTTTTCCTTTTGCTGCGATGCATTTTCAAAGGCTTCTTGAAAAGATTTCGTGTAGAGCGAACCCAGATTAGTGTCAGTGATCAAGACATACGTTGATGACTCCAGGTTCGACAGTAGATCGGATGCGACATAGTTCCGCCATAATCCAAAATTGATGATGATGCTCTCTTTTCCGAGGAGACTGACTCGTACTTCCTTCGCCGTCCCATTGACCAGAGGCATGATTGCGCATCCAGGGTACGGGACTATCGTTAGGAGACTGAGTCATGAAAAACAAGGGGCGGAGAGCTTCGAGGTTTATTATTTTCATGTCTTGGCGGATCCAGACCCTGTACACACTAGCGCTGGACTAATACAGCCTTGCATTAGTGCGTGGAATGGACTATTTGCGGCGCCGTACTTGGAGAGGCAGAATTTCCAGGGATACAAAATCCAGTTTGGGCTTTTCCTACTGGTACTTGTAGAGCTATCTGCTATTTGAGATGCGGTCACAAAGGAAGGTACATGGTGTTCTTGATACACAAGTTACCTCATGTTTCTCTCTCATTACTCGTCAGAACGATCAAAAACATAGTCCTTGAACTGTCGCGCTGGCAATTGTTTCTCAAATAAGATATCCAACTCTTCAAAAGTCCGATCCTTGGTCTCTGGAAGACGGAAAAAGCACCATGTGAGTGAGATGATCGAGATACCGCCGTACAAGAACTCGATCTTGGCCCCAGCATTTGCCGCGCCAGGGTTAAGGAGGTACGGGCCGATAACTGTGGTGACCAGTCCTGTTGCTGCATCGATCACCGTTGCCAGAGCTATGGTCTTCGACCTGAGTTTCGTGGATGGAGTTTCACAGACCACAACGTAGGTAAGTGGGCCGAGAGTCATTTGCCAAACGAACTGCAGGGTGCACAAGAGCGCCGCTTGCGCCCAAGAGTATGACGGGTTGCTTGCATAGCCTGACGCAAGACACATAAAGGCCACAATGAAGAGAATGACAATAATATAGCCCAAACCCGCCATATAACAGAGGCGTCTCCCGAAATAAATGAGTGGGATGGCGGATGCAAGAGTCCCAAGGAAACCAAGGCCATTGAGACTAGTGGTAGAGCAGGTTAGTGATCTGAACAAATAATCAGGAACATAGAGGGTTTCCCAGTGTGCCAACTTACCCAAGGCCCATGTCAAATGAGTGTTTGGCACTCAACCCGACTTGCTCAAAGAGATATGTGGCAAAGCCGACCGGGTTGCCCGAAAAGTTTTGGATGACGAAAAGCATGATACAAATCTCCATTCTTCTACGGTTTGGGCCCTTCCAGCAATCAATGTAAGTGGTTCCTACTTCAACTTCGCGCTCGTAGAGATCTAAAAAGTCCTAAAGTTAGCATCGACATAGTGGTGGAGTCGCAAGAACTAATAATTGCTACAGGATGGCCTGTACAATGAGAGAGTGCGCTTACCAGTTTTCACCATCATGGCCAGAGTATTCGTCACTTCCACTTTTTCGTGCCTTTCTGACAATCTCTTCAGAGACCTCTCTGCCTCCTCCATCTTATGCTGACGCACAAGCCACCAAGGGCTCTCGGGGGCCCAAATTAAGCCTGGGAGGATGATAATTGGCCACGCCCATTGTATGCAATAGGGAATCTTGTATGCCCACTTGTCCGCTCTGTTGATGAAGCCCCTCGTGATTCCCGTTTGAATGAACTGACCCATCACGTAGCATAGGTTGATATACCCGGTCAAGAAACCTCTGAGTTTCATCGGAAGACACTCGGACGCGTAAGTTGGAGCTAGGACGCAGTATCCCCCCCAGATAATGCCTGACAGGTCTATCGAGGGAAGGGGGAAAAATGATATCAGTATCACAGTTGACCCATGGCATCGCTGTGACGGAACACTTACACATGCTTGTTGTCAGCACCTCGATGTTTGGAGCAAAGACCTGCATGAACACCAAAGCTGAGGTTAATAGGAGATACACTGCGAGCGTCTTCCGGCGCCCAATCTTCTCCATTGGCCATGCGACAATGTATGCGCCAATGATCTGTCCAACAAGGGAACCCATAGACATGGCGACCTGCCAGTTGGCAGGTATCTGATAGCCGTGGCCAGGTACTTCGTGGCCAAAATGACTCTGGAACGATGGGAGGGCGAAGAAATTCCCGGTTATTTCAATGTCGTATGCGCGCATGATGATGGACAGAGAAAAAAATATCGACCAGAAGGCGCCTTTACGATAGATCTTCAGCGCCTCGAGATAAGTGAGCTCATGCTCAGTGTGGGTGCCTTGGTTGGCCATGGAGGTGCTGATGCTGTCTAACTTGCCAGTGACCTCAGCATCGGTAAGTGTCTTCTCGACTGTGAGGCCTGGCTCGAGGCTGGCAGAGTGTTCAATGAACGTGGTACCATCCTTGTCTTGTGTCTCCGTCGTTGTGGCCATGATGGCTGATAGATGGAGACTAGTTGTACCGGACGTAATGGACTGACAGAGGGACCAAGAACGGAGGTTGGGAAGAAGGCTAAGAATGACACCTTAACTGGAAGGCTGTCAGTCTTGAATAGTCGCGATGAAGAGATTTCAGCAGAGACATCTGGTTCTTATGGTCGTGTTGGTTTGGATGCAACATCGCCAGCAACCCGCTTCAGTATTATTGTAGTACCAATGACAGTACATCAAAGCCGCTAGAATATCCGACGCAAATGGCCCATTTTCCAAGTATTGTTTAGCCATGCCTGCCCACAATGCGGGGGACATAAAAGACTTGGTCGCTTTCAGGATGGTCTACAACCAGCCTGTCTCTATCTACTCGTCCGCCCCATGGGGAAAGCCAGAAGTCGGGGTAGCATCACTTCGTTAAGCCGCCAAAAGTCAAAACGGGATTTTGCCGTAGCCCTTTTGCCGAGAATATCAGCCCCATTGGTCGTACCGGTATTTGACTGAGAATATCATCACGGCTAATCGGCAAGTAGAACCCGCTCTCTGAGCCAGAGACGCTAAAGGATTGCCTTCGCCCTCGACCGACAATGCCCTCCAAAGAGCAATCATAGAAGACATCGAGAGATCCTGTTGCTGAAGTCTGCCGTAAGGGAATGGTTACCTCGACGAGGTTACGACTGTATCGGCAGTGGGAGCTGCTCGCTAAATCGTAACCATGAGATCTATTGCCATAAACAAAATCGTTCTCTTTGGCGATTCACAAACCGAGCAAAGTTCCAGCCAAGCGGGCGGATTCAACCTTGCGCCAGCATTGCAACATGAATACTGGTCCAAACTACAGGTCATAACACATGGATATGGCGGGTATAACACTGAACATGGGCGCCATATCATCAACGCTATTCTCGAGGCAGAAGCGCCGGCACCAACGCAGACCAGTCGACCCCGCTGTCCAAAGATCGAACTGTTGGTGATATTCTTTGGCACAAATGATGCCGCAGATCCCAAGCATAACACATTGTCGCAATGCGTATCGATCGATAGATATAAGGAAAATCTATCATATATGGTAAAGGTAGCTAAAGGACGCGGAGTTGAAGCCGTGGTTCTTGTAGGACCAGCACCAGTCAATGAGCTTGCACCAGAAGCCCCTCTGGATCGAAGTACAGAGAGAGCAAGACAATACTCGGATGCTGCAGCACAAGTCGCCGGAAAATTCGGGAAGCGGAACAATGTTACCTTTGTTGACTTGTGGCAGGCCTTCATGGATTCCGCAGGGTGGACGGAAGAACAGCCTATTCCCGGGCAGAAGATCCGTGTCGCTGGCGGGGAATGCGATGGGGCCGTTCAATCAAGTTATCCATCTCGAGCTCTGGCCACATCTGGAGCGCTTGCCGGGTTATTGGCTTCGGACGGTGTCCATTTCACAGCCAAAGGATACCGAATCTGGTACGACCTGCTGCGGCACACCATCCGCGAGCAGTGGCCAGCACTCAGATCTGAAAACTTGAAGACAATCTTCCCGCACATTCTTGACATAGACACGAACAACCTACCAGCATCGTTGTGGCAGCACTTAGAAGACTGAATGTCATATACTTGGAGCAAGGCTGATGGCCGATACTGAGATCCGACTGTGGTGCTCATTTGGGTGGTGAAGCCAGCATTTCGTCCGCTGAACTATAAATTGGGTTCGGACCGAGCTCAAAGAGCCTGATATTCGCATGTAGGCTCAAATCTTTCACGAGGATTAGGTTTCAAGCATCGGTCAAGACATATTTTGTAATAATGAAATGACTTTTCGCGGGACGCCCAGTCTCGTGACTTTTAAGGGCTTTAATGTAGCTGGCGTGTGATGTTACGGATTCGGTTAAACATCGGAACAACGGACGACCGACACCCCAGGGAATAATCAGGCCACCAGCCAAGAAGGGATGCGACTTAGGGAGTCCTTACTATCAAGTACTAGCACACTTCCCGCATGAGAGACGCACTGTCTCTTCCCTCAAGCTCAGAGTCGTCTACAGTATTAACCATATACTATACTTGGTAGGGATATCTTACGTACACGCTTATCGCTAGATTCTGCCTACTTGCCAAGGAATCCCTAACATGTGAGTACCAAGTAATAGCTCTAGTTCGACTTTAACCATATTAGGACTGGTGTGCGGTTAGCCTTCGCATGCTACCCACCAGACGGTATTAAGGGGTCAAAAGGGCTCATCTCCCCCCACGTTCCAGTTTATTCTGGCTTACCTATTCACCACCACGAGATGTAATGCCATCAACAGCCCATCATCGAAGTCGACGTGCAGCGAAAGCCTGCCTGTCGTGTCGGAAACGGAAGGTCAGATGCGATTATGCAGCGAAAGGTTCACCATGTTCGAACTGCAATCAAGATGGGTTTGAATGCCTGGCCATTGATCGAAAAAAGCGTCAAAGGACCGCCACAGATGGAGCCAGCCCCATTCCACCATCCTCGATTCTTGATCAGACGCGTCTCGATGCAACTGGTACCTCTTCTACAGGTCTCCGAGTGTCCGGCAGCGCAGCTGTCGAGGAGCTGTCTGCAACTCCAGAGGAGATTGAGCGAGCTTCAACTCGACGGACATCATCCTTCTCCAGACACAGGTTGCTGCATTCGGTCCCACATTATGCCTTTTTGATGCGCCTCTCTCAAGCGCAACGTCCCGATACGACATCTCTCGAGGACATAGTGCTTCAACTAGCATCAGACAAAATCCATGGATCCTTTACATCAATCTCTGGATGCGGTGAAAATGAGTTGCAATATCTCAAGAATGTCGGGTGCTTCGACATTCCTCCACCACACGTCCTCTCGGCCTTGATTAATGCGTATTTCGCTATTTTCCACCCGTTCTTTCCTATCATCCAGAAGTCGGAGTTCTTGCACTCTGTTAAATGTGTCCAAGGCTCGGCGAACACCAGTCCAGATGCTGCACGTCATGCAAGCTCGACTCAAGCTGCTCTTTATCCTGGAGGCCGCGATTCACATTCTAGTCTCTTGCTGCTCCAAGCTGTGCTCTTCATAGCAATTGGAGTTGTGCCCTCTGAGATCGTTTCGGCCGCAGGATTCTCATCCCGCAAGCAAGCGCGCCACGCATATTACCTCAAGGCACGCCGACTCTATGACCTCGACTATAATGAAGACCCGATTGCAACTATTCAGGCCTTATTATTGATCAGTCAGTACTATCCTTCTATCACTGAACGGAAGCACACGTGGCATTGGATACATCAAGCTATCAGCTTGGCACAAGTCAGCGGGTTGCACAGAGATCCTGGGAATGTCCCTCACCGGGCTTTGTGGGCACGAATTTGGTGGGCCTGTATCGTCCGCGATCGCTGCAATGGTCTGGGGACTGGTCGTCCTCTCATGATCAACAGCCTAGACTGCACTACATTGATGCTTGTGCTCGACGACGTGAAAGAAGAAGGTGACTCCGAGCAAGATCTTGAAATCAAGGCCATATTCATCGAATTTGTCAAGCTTTGCCAGATCGTTGAAGGCATTGTAACTCTACGCTATTCAAGCTCAGTGACAGATGCGACCCCTCCCGATCAACTCAAAGTCTGCGAAGATGCCTTGGAACACTGGATGCGATCTCTGCCATCTCAAGCGAAACGACAAGACCATTTGCAGGCTGTCTCGGGAAACATAGGGGTCGCCGCTATGTATCGGGCAGTATTGCATGCTTGCTTCAATACCATTCGTATCGCATTGTACCAATCACTTACTCTCTGGAACGGAGCAGGTGATTGGACTACCACATGTCAGCAAAAGGTTGAGTTTGCAGCCTTGGATAACACGCAGCTGTTTACTCAGCTCGTCAACCTTGACCTGGTAAGGTTCTGTCCCACAATTGCTGTCACTTTCACTTTGGCGCCTCTCATTGTGCACGTTCTTGGAATTAGATCCTCAAGATCGGAGGAAAAACTCCAGCTTTACAAGAACCGGTTTGAGCTTTGCATGATATTCTTGCGCCAGCTGCGTGATATTTATTGGCACGCTATTTTTTACTGTGAATTCTTCGAGCTCGCCGCATCAATCAAAGACCATGAGTTGAGGACGCAAATGTCAGAAGCACATGATCCTCTTGCTTCGTTCCTCACCCAGCGCATCAGTGTCGGCGATCTCATGGTCCTTCGACATTACCAGAACCTTGGAAAAGCTGGCGAAGCGGATGACCTACCTCTGCCCCCGGAAGTATCACCACTCTATCCACGAGAATGGCCTCAAAACGCGGGACCGGAAGGCCATGGTCATAGTAATCAAGGAGAAATGTTATCGGGTCTAAATACACCAAATCTCTCATCTTTCTCGGCAGATCTCGATCCTGTCTATTTCCGCCGCATTGAACCTATGAATATGAATGATTGGCTAGCGGCGCATTCGCGTGCTGGTCAGTCAATCCCATTTGCCTGAAGTCCAATGATCCAAATTTCAGCAGCTGAGCAGCGGCTCAATGGATAGGTTGCGTGCCGAGACCCGGCTCTCAATGGACTCTCAATTCAGGCCGCCATCGATGATCGACAAGCCATCCTTAGAGCACCAGAAGGTGCCGTCTGGATAGCTGTACTCCGCGATTGCGGCCTCTCGAAATTCGACACTGTAGCCAGATTCTGATGGCGTCACGAAAAAGCCATCACGCGTTTGCAATGGCGTGGTGAGCACGTGGTTATAGGTGGTGATGTTCTCGAGCATGCTCCGCTCCCCAGATACGCAAAGGTAATCCACCAAAGACAAGTGCTGCGTATACTCATTCAAGCCTATGCCACCACTGTGCGGTACAACAGGGACTCCAAATCTACGAGTCTTGTTAGCTGTTTGGGCCGGGGTTTCTTCTGAGTCTTGCTCCTTACTTTTTCGCCATCACAAGAACAGCCAGGACCTCGTTTACACCCCCCAGACGACAAGCGTCAATCTGACAAACATCGATCGCCTCCGCCTGGAGCAATTGCTTGAACATCACTCGGTTGTG